ACGCCATCCCAAAAGCGTGCTGCCATTCAGCCCCTGGAGCAGGTTGTGGGGACCTGAAGCTGGCTCTTACCTTCCTGAGGGCCAGTCCTGACCCAGGGAGGCAGTGGGGGAAGGATGCTGTTGGAAATGTGCAACGGGTAACCCAGGACCATGCACAAAAACCCAGAGTCCTCCCCGGCATCGCGCAGCCTCACCTCAGAGAGGGAAAAGAGCCACTTCCACCAATAGGTGACCTCTTGCTGGGAGGAAGGCAGGGAAGGAGCCCAGAGGTGCATGGACACCAGGGCTCAATTTCTCCAGCAAGAAGGACAGACATGGCCAAAATGACGAGAGAAAATGCTTCCCTAGGAGAGCAGAGAGAAGACACAGGGAACTTTCCCAAATGTGTTTCCCCTCCTCCTGTGCACCCTTAACACCAGTCCCAACAAGCTTTGCCCATTTTCCCATCTTCTCTCTGGGAGATGGGAGAGACTGGGGAAGCACCCCAGGTGGCTCTCCAGGACGTCAGCAAAGTCCGAGTTGAATTGGGGGGACATCTGAAGCTCAGGGGTTTCCCCAGACTGCAAGAATTGCCGTGAACCCAGGCTGAGAACCCACGGGAAAACTACAAAAGAGAGCGACAAGCCCAGCTTCCCCTGTGAAGGCTGCGTGCTGGCCCAGCCACACCTCTCCAGAGCTAAGTCTGCAGAAAAACCAGCCCCCGGATTGTGGCTCATAGGGGAAGAAAAGAGCCCTCAAATTATGTGGGAAAAATGTTAGGGAAATTTATCTGGACTGTATTAGGACAGACAATTCCAGAAATAGAAGAGCTAGACAAAGCTAGACAAAGACAGGTGTCACCTTAAGACACTGATGGTCTGACCTCTGCCAGATCTTGATTCCCTGGGATTCTGCTTTTCCCTCTCCTGGGGCAGTTGGCGGAAAAGGAACACCGTGCTGCACCTTCCGTCTCGTCTTTATGTGGAGGGAGCTGAAATGTCATGGATGAAAGATGGTGGGTTTTGGAGCCAGGCAAGCCGACCTTGATCTATTTGCCATCGGAAGTGTTCTAGAACTTTCTGAGACTCAGCTGCTTTATCTGTAAAATCAGAATAACAAAAACATGTACTTGTTATGATGGCCTGGATGATGGAAGGGGATGACATTTTGCATTCTTTTTAGAACAAAACCCATCACAACACACTCCTTTCTTTGGTTAAGAGACAACCAAGCTCCTGCATGTTTTCACTCTCCAGCAAAAAGGATTTATTTCCATTTGCAACATTTATTGGTGCATTTGCTGCCCTAAGAAATTGTTGCAGATCTTTTGCCAATTAAAATTGCTCAAAAAGATTCGTACAACTGAATCATGATTCTTTTTCCTGGCTGCAAAATAATTTTAGCACTCTCTCACATAATAATTTTTATTCGTGTTTAACAGCTCTATTGAGGTATAGTAGACATGCAGGAAACCACATGTGTTTAAAGTGTGCAGTCTTATAAACTCTGACACATGCAGGACGTCATCACCACGTCAGATCATCCAAAGCTTCCTCAAGCCCCTTTGTCACTCCTCCCTCCCACCTCTCCACCCGACCTTTAGGCAACCACTGATCTGCTTCCTGTCACTATACATTAGTTTGCATTTTCTAGAGTTTTCTATAAATGAAAGAACGTATATTTCTTTTTGTGTGACTTCTTTCACTCAGCGTTATTTTAAGATTCATTCATGTTGTTGCCTGTATCACAGTTCATTTCCCTTTTGTTGCTTTTACATCTTACTTTGATGCATGAGATAAATGATGTAGAAATATATCCATTACATTTTTCTGGAAAGCCAAAAGTGTAACATTACGGGAAATGTTCTGGCCTCGATTTAAAAAATGTTTAGTTGGGGTATACTGGCTGTGTAACCACAGACATGTCACTAAACCTCTGTGCCTCAGTTTCCTCTCCTGCAAGAGGGGACTAATAACAGCACCTCGTTGGTCATGTTCACCAGGCCTTTGTCATGGACTTGAGAGGCCCAGCCCCCTCGACCTGTGTCTGTCTGCATGACTGGATGGCTTGGTGGAGTGGCACCCTCTGTTGGCCCTAGCCCCATGGGGAGATGACAAGTTTGCCAAAGGTCAGGCAGTGATAGGCCGAGGGAGCAGGGCTTGTGGCCCTGTGCCTGTGAGAACTGCATCTGCCTCGGCCTTGATGGAGTGTCTGGGAAGCAGGCCTATGAGGTGCTGCCATTGGACAGACCCAGGCCAGCGTGGGTGCCCTCACTGGGAGGAGAGGTTCTGGAGCTATTTCTGTGGTGCTCAGGCTGGGAACTGAGCCCCAAGTGAGAAGGAAGCTTAGAAACGTCGAGGTGGTGGAGGAGTGATGTACCCAGGAGGTGGCCTTCCTGTTTCTCAGCAGGACTCAGATCGGGAGAAAACCAGGAAGCTGTTCAGATCCTTCTGGGAGAGTGAGAAAGGCATGAGGGAGTCTACCGGACAGGCCCGTCCTTCTAGCAAAGTGAAGTTAGAGAGGTTTAAAGAGGAGGAGTGACTTGAAAAGAGGAGAGTCACTCCTCTGAGCTGAGGACAAAACTTGTGGCAACTGGTGTTTTGCAAAGATGGCCATAACAATATCTTTTGTCCCACGGGCTCTTCAGGCTGGCCACTGCCTCCTCAAGAAGTGGCATCTATGACCCGTCCCTTGAACTGGGCCTACGTAACCGCCTGAACCAAGAGAATATGGAGGAAGTGGCATTATGTGACAATGGCATGTACTTCCTCCAGCGGGGGGGACACTCACTCTTGGAACCCAGTCACTGTGCTGTGAGGTAGCCTAAGCAGCCTGTGGACAGGCTTACCTGAGGAGAAATAGAGACCCCCGGCCTATAGCCCCAGCCCAGCTCCCAGCCAACAGCTGGCACCAACTTGCCAGCCATGCGGGGGAGCCATCTTGGAAGGTGGCCCTCCAGCCCTCAGTCTTAAGCTACAAAGAGCAGAGAGGAGGCACGATGTCCAACTTAACAGATTCATGACAAAATAAAGGGCAGCTGTTGTTCTAAGCCACTACAGTGTGGGGGCAATTTGCTGTGCAGCAGGAGATAACTCATACAGAGCTCACCTGGGAGATAGAGATAAACTGATCTCAGCACCTGATAGCTGAGTGCGGTCAATATGAGGAGATGCCGACCCCGGCCCTTCCCGCCACTGGCAGCCTTCCCCACTGGGCAAGGTTCTCCCCACATTCTGGCGAGTCCTAAGCATTAAAGGACAAGACTAAGAATGGCTTGGGATGCCTGGGTGGCTCAGTTAGTTAAGCATCTGCCTTCGGCCCAGGTCATGATCCCAGGGTCCTGGGATCGAGTCCCATATCGGGCTCCTTGCTCAGTAGGGAACCTGCTTCTCCCTCTCTCTCCCTCTGCTTGTGCTCTGTCAAATAAATAAAATCTTAAAAAAAAAAAAAAAAAGACTAAGAATGGCTTGTCCTCTGTTGGACATCCAACTTAAAATATACATAGTAGCACCTCTGGTCACAGCATAAACATTTTTTGGAATGGCTTAAAAAGTGCTCTGGTTATAATACTACTTTTGAAATGTGGGATTCACTGAGCGCTTCAGATAACTCCTATGCAAATGTCAAGGGTCTGTTCTACCATCCAGGTTTATAAACGTCTTTCTAAGTGTCTTCAGGACATCAAGAGCATTTAATAAGGACTTACTGAGGGTTTATGATAAAGAATATTATTTTGCTGCATTTTGCAGATGAAGAGACTGAGGGTCCCAGAGGCAAAGTTCCCTGAGCTAGCAACTGAAGAGCAGGAACAGGAAGCTAGGTCTGTCCACCTTGGAGTCTGATACTCTTTATGAGGCCAACATGTAGCTTTGACTTTAAATTGGAGATTTATTTCTTTTCAGTTAACCGAGTGATAAGAATACAGACATCTGTCTTCAACTCTCTCTGTTTTTCTTTCTCTTTTTTTTGGATTTATTTATTTATTTGAGAGATGGGGAAGGGCAAAGGGAGAGGGAGAGAAAGAGAGAATCCCAAGAAGACTCGCCGCTGAGCGTGGAGCCCAAGGCAGGGCTCAATCCTACAACCCTAAGATCAGGACCTGAGCTGAAATCAAGAGTCGGATGCTTAACTGACTGAGACACCCAAGCGCCCCTGTTTCTCTGTCTTTCTTTGTCTTTACCCTCAAGCCATTTCTTTTAAAAAAAAAAAATTGTTTTATTGTGTAAAATACACACAGCATAAAGTGTACCTTCTGGACTATTTCTCAGTGGGCAGTTTGGTGGCGGTAAACACATGTACACTGTTGTGCAACCATCACCACCATCCAGCTCCAGAGCCCCTTTCATCTTGCAAAACCACACCTTTGCACACATGAAACCACTCTTCATTCGGCCCTCCCCAGCCCCGGCAAGCACCATTCTATTTTCTGTGTATGCATCTGACTGCTCTAGGAGCCTCATACAAGTGGCATTGGATGTATTTGTCATTTTGCACCTGGCTTATCTCACTTAATGTAATGTCCTCAAGGGCCATCCGTATCATAGCATGGGCCAGAATCGCCTTCCTTCTTAACACAGCCACTTTTTTGGGTCCAAATATGATGTCTTGCTATCTTCTGTGTTTAAAGGCTCCAACAAGCCAGAGTCTCTTCCCTTTCTCTGCCAACAAGCCTCAGGCGTGCCCCTCAGAAGAGAAGGCTGGGGAAGGCAGCTCACAGCCTGTTAGGTTCCTGGGTCAGGTATACATTTGGACAGAAGATAGGACAGCCTTAGGCTATCTTGGTAACCTTGTGATTTTACTTCTGGATCCTGTGTATTTTCTACAGGCTGAGCAGGAGTTTGCCAGAGAAAGGGTGGATCCTATCCCCATTAGCCCCCTGAAGTCCTTTCTGCCTACACCTCACCAGATGGAGGTTTGCACAGTTATCCACTGGAGCTGGGACAGCCTGACTCCACCCCTGAGCTCAGACCCACTCGGCATGTCTGGCCCTGCAGCCAGGACTCACCCAGGAGGCCTCTCGGGAGACAGGCGTGGCCTCCTGTTGTCCTCACGACAGGACATTATATTTGGAACATTGGCCTGTGGAGCTCGGTCCATTGGAGTCGACAGCCAGCTCTGAACTCCTTACTAGCCACGTGGCTACAGGAAAGGCCCTCCCCCTTGTGCACTGGATTTCTAGTCTGATTTCTTCAACAATGAGGCGGTGATACCCCCTCCAAGGTCTTTGAGGTGATGGAAATGCTGCAATGTTGTTCACAGACTGATGTAAGCAGGGCCGTGTGCCTAAGGAGGGAATCAGAAGACACAACTTGGGAATCTGGGAGACAGATCTCATTTAAACAAGCTTTCAAAATGAGAACGTCGGGTCTCCATTGATCCAAAATCCAGCTGGCTGTGAGATCCTACAGAGGTGACGTGTGAGCCAAGAGGTACGTCCTGAACAGTTTGCTCTGCTTTGCACAAAACGCCGCTCTATTTCACACTGGAACACACAGCAGAGTCAGAAACCAGAGGCCTTCACATGTTTTATGGACTCCCTGTGCTCTTGAAATTGGCATTATAAAGAGAATTTTCTGGCCCCAAATGTCTCCTTCCCCTGCAGCCACATTCCCCCAGCACCTCGGCAGGACATCTGCAAAGCCTGGTATCATATGTCATGTTCCCTGATGCTTCCTGTGACCAGCTCTGGCAGGATCTCTGGGCTCCTCTGGGACTGTCCCAGGCCAAGCCTGTCAGCTCCCACCCCAGTGGCGACCCCTCCCCACCACCACTACCCTCTAATGGGCTCTTTGTCCTGACCTGGTTCCCTTCAAAGGAGGTGTTTGATCATTCCACAGCCTCTGATTTCCAACCCTTCCCCATTCCCACCTCTGAGCCAGGTTAAATCACAGATTTTGTTTTTTATGAAGTGTGGTTATTCTCAGTAAGCTTTTCAATCATGCCTCTGTCATCAGAAAGCACTTTTGTTCAGGATATGTAGACTGGTTTATGTAGGCTTCTTTGTGGTCAAAACTGTGTGTTTTTCTATATGTACTTAATTATAGGACTAATGCCACAAGGATGCTAAAAGCTAGGCAGACATTTTGTTTTTTTCCTGCTGCAGTGAAATCTAAGCATGTGAGCTGTCATTTGGACCAGTTGGGAAAGCCCGAGAACAGAGGTCACCTGGCAGAGTGGAGACCACAGACAACCTGCTGCACGTGAGCCAAGCAGGTGCCCGGGGTGTGTTGGGGGTGATGGCCTCGTGGGGCTGATCGGCCACTCTGTACTGGACACTGCCTGGGAGCATACCGCCTTTACTCTCCATACAAACTTTTTGTGTTTTGTCTTCTTTAATCTACTGAAGAGGAAAAATGGTCAGAGATGCCCATCAAGTGTCCAAGGTCATGTGTTAGAAGCTGGTTGGGTATGGGCATCAGACCTTCCCTCATGATTATTTTCCCTGCACTCCCAGGACCAGCGGCAGCTCTGACTCAGTGGATGCTTCCTGCCAGGGCTCTGGGGTCAGGTGCTTCCCAAGCACCTGTCTGGAAATTGGCATTATAAAGAGACTTTTCTTGGACATGAGCAGATGTAAACTCTGCTCCAGGACTAACTGACTTCTGGCACTGGAGACCCACCAGCCTCCCGGGGCCTCGGCTTCCTCATCGTGTAATAGGATAGAACTATGTGCTGCAGAGAGGTTCCCCTCACGGAGGAGCTGGGGTCCTGCTGGGAATGGGCAATTAGGACCAAGGCAGATATCCAGTTACTAGAAGTGGAACACAAGGCCCAGAGTTGGCCCCGCAGCCGGCAGGACCCTAAACTCAGCCCTAAGTGAAGTGTTGGGGCTAAGTGGCCCTGTTTGAAGTCAGGCCTGCATTGGGAAGAGGAAAGAGGACGATGCAGGCCAGGCCCCCCTTTCCTGCACCCAGCTTCTCTACCCACCTTGCTGTGGCTATCATTCACCCTGCTGGACTCTTTGGAAATAAAATCAGAGCACAGCAGGGCAAGGACCACCACGTCCTCCCAAGAGAGAGTACCTTCACGTGGTGGCATGGATTGCCTATTGCTATTTCTGCAGACTCTGCGTCATGGCATGGGTAGGTCCAATCATGGGCTTCTACTGCTATGACAATAACCACCCAGCCCGTGGTTGTGGACACGCCACTCTGTGCTCTCTTTGGCCTTCTTCAGCTACATGCTCGTGAGAGCCCTGAGAGGTGGAGCCCCACGCCCTGTTTGTGGATGGCAATGCACACATCCATAAATGTGTCAGTGAGGGAATGATTGATCGATCGGTTGAGGCTGAATGCTCTGTGTCTTTGTTCGTCTCCATGATTCAAGGCACGTCCACCTGCTCCAGGTGACACCTGTGTAGTCTAAGCTCCCCCCAGTCTTTGCCATTTGAGCTTCCCCAAGCAGTCCCCATGTCACCCTTGTCCCAGGTGCTCCTGTCTACAGTCTGTGGAAAGATCTAGGCTGCTGTGGCCACGGCCACTAAAGGTTGGCTTCCTCATTCCCAGGGCTGTGTGCCCTGGCTGCCTTTACTGTGGCCCCTCCATGTCTGGCCCTGGCTTTCATTCCTGCACTCCCTGGGCAGCCCTACCCTTTTCCTCGGGGGGCTCCACGTAACTGGGGCAACCCCACAGGGAAACGACCCCGTGCATCCTACATGTTGAAGGCCAGAGGAGGCCTTGCAGGGGATTAAGTGTTCTTGGGGAAACTTTCCAGGCAACCAAGAGGTTCTCAGGGCAAGCGAAAATCTAGGGTGTGTGTACCACATTCTGAGCTTCAAACAACAAAACTGGAAATAAATAGAAAAGTCAGGACCTGAAAGTACCCAACCACATGGAATCCAAAAATAGTTTCCTAAATATCAACGAGGCAGGGAGGAGATTCAAAGAAAGTAAAAACATTTATGAAAATAATTAAAATGTAGATACCCTAACAAAGTGTGTGGACTCAGGCCAAAGCATTCTCAGAGGGAAAGCAATTTCTTTAAATGGCAATTTTAATGAAAATGCTAAGGGAACTCTAATGACCTAAAAAGTGAACAAAGAAACAAAGACATCTGTTCACAGAACAGGAGAGGAAGAAAGAAATACAAACGGCACAGAGAAATGAATTAGGAGAGATAACAAGTTAACTGATTTGGGTTAATTCTGTGGAAAAAAAATAAGTTTTCCAAATTGGCAGACTATAGGAAATATTTTTAATAGAAAAAAAGAGAGAGAGAGGGAAGAGAAGGTGATGAAGCTAGAAAGGAAGAAGGACTGATAGAACACTGAGAACTATTTAAGGGTTTGAGGCCATGGCCGGTGCTGTGGGAAAGTTAATAGGTGGCGGGGGTGGGGGGGGGGGCGGGTTCAGAGCCAGACTGCAGGACCCCATGCTCGCTGCTCCACTGGCCTTCAGCCAAGTTGCCCAAAACATCTTGTTGTGCCTATTTCCTTCTGCAAAATGGGGAAGATAACGAAAACCTGCCTCTTGGGTTTTTGCAGTTTGAGTGAGTTAATCTGTGTCACTTATGGCCCATGTGGCCTGGACTATTCGTATCCCCATCTTATGGAGAAAGAAAACAAGGCAAACAAAGGTGGAGAAAATTGTCCAAGGTCATTCGACTTTCTTAGGAAGACTTTCCAAAGTGTTGGAGGAACACAGAGCTGTCACGTAGTTGAAGGATCTGGGGATGCGTTCCCCGAAGAAGAGAAGACTCAGGAGGACATGTCCCACAGGCCCTGGGGAATAATAGCTGGTACCCATGGATGGAAGCCAAGAGAGGCACATTGTGATGGTTAGTTTTATGTGTCAACTTGAATGGACAGAGGGATGCCCTGATAGCTGGTAGAACATTATTTCTGGTGTTTCTGGAAGAGATCAGTAGACTTAAATCAGTAGACTGAGTAAAGAAAGTCCCTCACCATTTGAGTGGCATCATTCAATCTATTGAGGGCCCAACTAGAATAACAAGGTGGAGAAAGGGTGAATTTGCTCCCTCTACTGTGCTGAGACATCCATCTTCTCCTGACCTTGGACATTGGTTGGTGCTCCTGGTTCTCGGGCCTTTGGGGTTAGACAGTCTGGATACCCTGGGCTTTCCTGGGCCTCCAGCTTGCACATGGCAGATGGCAGAACTTCTCAGCCTCCATAAGCACATGGGCCAATCCCCCATAATCAAGCTCCTTCTATGGATCTATATATTTCCTATTGGTCCTGTTTCTCTGGAGACCCCTGACAAAAACACACATTCAATTCAATGTGAGTGTAGTGGGTTAAATGTTTGTGCATTTCACCACCATTGTCTGTTTTTGAGTATTTTCCCCTTTCCCTCTTGGTATCCAAGTTTGGCAATGATAATGAGGTAATGGTCTTTTCTAGACTTTTGTATTTCTAAATATCTTTGCCTGTTATGGAGACAATATTTTGTGCCTCTGAATAAAAATTGGCACCACTAAGGAAAAGAAGGGCTTCTTCTAGAGGCTAGAAAAAATCTTGGGCGGTGAGGTGGGTGTGGAGGGGGGTGGGCACATGGAAAGACCAGGGTATATGGTAAGAAGGAAGATGCCCACTCTTTGGGCTCTAATGGAGCCTCAAGGAGGCAGTGAGGCCCCAGGGAGTAACTGAGCACTAGGTGGCACCACTGAGAGCCTCATAGGCTTCTTGTGCCCAGCCCACCCCTCAGAAATACAGACAGATTCCTGGGACTCCCAGCCATGGCACAAGTGGGCTGGAGCCAGCTCACCATCTGTAGGATCCCTAAATCCTTTCTCCACCTTGTTATTCTAGTTGGGCCCTCAATAGATTGAATGATGCCACTCAAATGGTGAGGGACTTTCTTTACTCAGTCTACTGATTTAAGTCTACTGATCTCTTCCAGAAACACCAGAAATAATGTTCTACCAGCTATCAGGGCATCCCTCTGTCCATTCAAGTTGACACATAAAACTAACCATCACAATGTGCCTCTCTTGGCTTCCATCCATGGGTACCAGCTATTATTCCCCAGGGCCTGTGGGACACAGCAACAGGGATGAGGGGCCTCAGTGGAGATCTCTGTGGACCCAAGATCAGGAGCAGATGAGACAGACTGTGCCCATCTTGGCAGACACCAAGTAAACAAAGGACTCGAGAGTGAGGTGCTGCCTCAACCTAAGCCCTCCAGAACATAATCACAACCTTAGGGGAAAAGAGAGGATCCCAACTGACCAAATTTAAGTTTTCTATAACCTTAACACTATGAAGATCTCTCATAAAAATTAAATAAAATTGGGTTTGTAGACTGAGAGTCTGCCTTCTTTGTTAGGAAAAATTTCCCTACTAGTTATAGGTACTAAATGTAGTTGGCTCACTGTCTCCAGAATGTTCCAGCGAGACTGGATAACCCTTTGCTGAGGATGCCTAGAAGAAATGCATGTGCTGGCTGGAGACTGGCCTACCTGGAGACTCTGATTGCATGAACTCAAATAGGTGGAAAGGTGACAGCTGGCAAGAGGCGCTCGGAGGGAAGCCTGGAATTTTCTGACTCTAGAATGTCCCCTCCTATTACCTAAAATTCATGGCCATTGATTCATTTCTGAGGGGAAAGGCCATAGGAGCTACAGGGTTGGTGAAGGAGGATAGAGGATTTTGGAATTGGAGAGAAGATGGTAATGACAAAGAGAGGGTCTGTGTGGGTCAATGAGGTGGGGTGGCCATCATGCAGACAATCCTATGGCCTGTGTGACTGAATGGGGTATGCACAGTTGAGAGGGCTGCCTGATGTGAAAGCAGGTATGCTGCAGGGGAATGATGGCACGTGGTGTAGACTACATGGATGATGGATGCAGACACGTGAGGGTGTACATGATGCAGGTGCCAGGAGAGAGGGTGAGTGGGATGTGCAGTTTTGGAGTGATGGTGTACATAGAACAAGGCACCCTGTGCGAGAGTATGTTGATAGGTTTGGTGGTTTTTCCTCTATGAAAGAATAGCCCCTTTAGCTAGTATTTGGAAATGTACCAGATTAATTTTTTAAATTATCTAATTTGGAATTCTGGGAGCTTTTTCAATCTGAGTACATTTGCCTTTCTTCAGTTCTGGAATATTATGAGCCACTTTCTCTTCAAGTATTATCCTTTTTTTCTCTCATTATGGAACTCCTGTTAATTGTATGTTGGAGATTCTTAAATCTATTCTCCATGTCTGTTAACTTCTTTGTCATGTTTTTCATCTCTCTTTCTCTCTCTCTTTTC